CAAAGTCCATTAAGGGTGACATCGAAATAACACAGCATAAATTTATAAAATTGTTTGATGATACTCCCATAAAAATGTTTCTTTTACCCGAACTAGAAACATTTGATGTAATATTAGGAAATGATAGTTTAAAAGAATTCATTCAGCCGAGGATTACTTCACCGTTAAGGGAGGTAGAAAAGTCTCAATTAAACAGTTAATTTCCCAGAACGTAAATAATATCGACATTGGGAACAACCATCTTTCGGAATATAATAAGAAGTTATTGGAGAACATCGTCTATCGGCATAGGAGTTTATTTGGAGACCCTGAAGAAAGCCTTAAGTACACGACTAGGGTCGTAGGCGAGATAAGAATAACAACTAAAACCCCCGATTATTCAAGAAATTACCCCTATAAAATGGCTCTAAGGGGTATTGTTGACGAAGAAATATCTAAGTTACTAAAAGATCAAATAATCCGACCATCGTGTTCTCCCTATAATTCACCAATTTTGATTGTCCCAAAAAACAAGATGCATCCGGGAAAGACGAGTATAGAGTTGTTCTGGACTTTAGAAAACTTAATACAGTAACTATCGCAGATAGGTATCCCATTCCCGAGATAAATGACGTCCTTTCCCATTTGGGAGAAAATAAATATTTTACAGTTATCGACTTAAAGAGTGGTTTTCAACAAATACCCCTTAGGATGGCAGATGTAGAAAAAACTACATTTTCTGTAAAGGTGCGGTCACACTGGGCAAATATTTGATCGAAATTTGTTTTCCCATATTTGACTGAACAAATGTGAAATTCATACAGAGTTGATTCGATGTTCACATTACAGTCAAATATTTGACAGATTTTGTTTGTTCAAACAGTCACCAAATAACGTCAAATAGTGCTATGGGGAAACATGTTTGACACATGTTCGCATTCGTAAAATATATTTTCTCAATAAATTGTTTGATCAAACTGTGAGGAAACATAAAGAGAAAACAAACACATAAATAAATTTATTTGGCCGAGAGGAATGACAAAGAGAGTGAAAGAGATACATAAAGGTAATGGAGTTTCGGGTATAATTTATTTGGAGAAGGGAAGCAAATGACCAGCTGTTGTGGAATAAATTTCTTGTCAGAACATTTTTTTTGCATTTTTGTACGTTTGTATCACGGTAGAAGAATACTGGTAGTCGCATCGACATAGCTGCTGGGACAATGAACTGACAAAACAATAATGAATGAAATATTATTGAAATTTGTAAAAATTGTTGAAAAATACATATCATTGCGTAAAAGAAAACATAGAAAAATCTTCTTATTTTTGTCAAAACATTTCAAAATGTTTGACATATCAATGTTTCAAGCGTTGATGCATCTACCTATATCCTATTCCTGAACCTGCAATAATCTACTAGTTTGTCAATTTCTTCGATATAATAAAGGGAAAATCGGTAATCGTAGTAAAAACTTTTACATCTTGCAGTTCTGGAACAGACCATACATTAAATTTTTACTAAACATTCAAATTCAGTTAATTCTAAAATATCAAATAAACAATACCAACTATTGTATTCGTTTGCTTCTCTATTCATTAAACATCGTGTTACAAATGCTCCTGTTCTTAAAGCAAAATGCTGCCCAATGTTTTAAACTGATATTTTTCCTTGTTTGACCTTACAAAACATTTGCACCGTCAAATAAATGTTTGACCAAAAAAGAGGAAAATAATTGATCATAGGTGTTCACATTATGGACACACTGGCTAAATTTTTGTTTTCTGGCAAATAATTTTGTTTTCCCAAAATCAGCTGTTTTTGTATTTACCGTAAAATAGTATTTGGTGGTCAGATTGTGACAAAGAAATATTTGACATTTTTCGTCAAATATTTGCTCAATGTGACCTTACCTTAAGCATCAATTCTTTTAGTTAAAATTGCATTGTTCGGTGTTCAATAATCATACACAATTATATTCACATATTTATGTTAGTGACATACCCTTGTTACTGGCAGCCTTCGCTTGACCGTCAGTAATAAACATACATACGTTGATTGGTTGTTTTTCTTTGTTACGTGTACGCTACACTACTCGGGTCGGTCGATTGTGGTTATGTTACACGTTTGATACAAAGTTAGAATTTTTTTCTGAATATCATATATAAGTGTGTGTATGAATAGTTAAAAATATTTTTGGACAATTTTAGTAACGTGCACCCTATATGCGGCACATTTAAAGTATTGTGTTAGTTAATTAACAGAGACAATTTTCTTGGTGTTGAATCAATTTTATTCTTACACTGAATATCTTCGTCGATATTTTGAGTTTTTTTTTTTTGTGGAATTTTTTGATTGATTTCGCATTCATTATATTTTGAACAGATAGAAAACACAAATGTTGGTAAAAAGTTTCGAATATTTTCCGTTGATTTAAAATTTCTTTGTTTTTTGGTAAACCTTTGGGATAAAAATTGTTGGTTTTTTCTACAATCTAGGTAGAGAAGATAATTTTTTTGCAATTCCATTTGTTCTTTTGCTTAAAGCACGAATATGATAACCCTCGGTTACTCCTTCATAGTCATTTGAAATCTCTTTTCGCGCTTTAATTCAACGCGGCATTAAAGGATGTCTTTCGGCAATGTATAATATTCCTACGGATCATTGGGATCCAATTTTCGTTTTCATATGTCTCCAACGTTTGCCAAACATTACACTGACGCTGTGGGAGCAAAGTGTCAAAAATAAAACTGTGATTTCTTCGTGGAAGGACTTGGATAGTTTTCTGACGGAGAGAATTCGTACTCTCACTTGTCTTCACGACATGATAGAAGTTGAACCATCACCAAAACTGGTTGATCAATCTCGTTCTTGTACGTTATCTCCTCGGCAGTCATATCGCTCTTGTTCCCTGTTTTGTCCCTCGCAGAGCCATCCTCTTTTTGAATGTCCTCATTTCAAAAATATGACACTTTCGGCAAGATTTTCTACGTTGAAGCGTCATCGTTTTTGTATCAACTGCTTGCGCAAGGGACATGAAATCAAAAATTGTAAAAGTTGTCGTCGGGGTTTGATTTGGTGGTGATGTAGTTCGACAGGCATTTCACGCTGCGCAGATTCAATCGGTTCTTTTGGGCACTGCCGTGGTGAAAGTTGTTCATCAAGGTGGTTCGTATTCTGTAAGGGCGTTGAAAAATCCGGCCTCTGAGTCCTCTTTCATCACAGAGCGAGTTCAAAAGAAACTTAAGCTTCCTATTTGTTCGTCCAAATCCACCATTTCGGGTGTTAATTGTTCACTTGCGGCTACATCAAAGAATGTTTGTAATATTGAAATCAGAAGTAGCCTAGACCATTGTCCCTGAAAACTTCAGCGATCGTGCTGAATTCAATTTCAGGAAATCTACCCACGTTCGACCATAGAAATCGACTATCTAATGTTATATTAGCAGATCCTCAAACGATTAAGTCGAGTCCAGTTGATATTTTGATAGGAACAGACTTGTACCCTAGAATTATTAAAGATCAGAGCTTCCGCTTTTCGTCTGGTTCTCTGCTTGCTCAAAATACAGCCCTTGGTTGGATTGAAACTGGACCATTTCCGTATCGACAAAATCGCCCACTTGAAACTACGTAAAGCATTTCGTCGTGGAAAATATATACACAAAACATTTTTCTAAATTGAAGTCTAGTATTGTAAAGTGGCCGTTACTGCGGATTTCACAGACTCGGTTTTCGTTTCCAATCCGTAACGGTTGTCGGATGTCGTTATTGTATCGTGAAAATGGGTTTTGTTTTGAACTTAAAAAGTTTTGCACAAGTCCGAATCCATAACTGTGGGTTCTTGGTGACTTTGAACTATCAATTTGTTTATCGTTTACTTTCGAAACTGCTCACATGTTGCACTGTACCCACACTTTATACTTTTTAACGAATTAATTTATATTGTTACACCATCCCAGGATGCTGAAAGGTGACCGGCTAATGTTTAAGTAAGAATTGTCTCCATTTATTTGAAATGGAATCGTGGTGCAGTGTGTTGCAAAACTTATCGTATTGTACATTCGTTAAAATCTGTTTACTACTTCTTATTGCAACATTGATTTGTCAATGTCAGATTTCAACGAATTGTCACTAAAGCTTCCTCCACCTTACTTCAGTCTGTCTTGGTGATTCCTGCTTGCTATCGGTTCAGTGTTCGTGCTCAACACTGTAAATATTACACGTTCGTGTATAACTACTAAGTTAAATTTGGTTACCTATTTGGTTACTTGAATATCAATAAAGAATTCACATATTTAACTCGCAAGAAACTAAAACCATCGTGTTTTATATCTATTTTTCTCTCCCCTTTATCTGAGCGCAATTTCGACGCATTAAGAACCATATTGCAAAGCAAAAACGGGGAACGACAAAAAATTAAAAATATTACCAGACACTAGCAGCAATAAAAATTACATAAACCCAAAATTTATAAAAAAAACCGAAACAAATTGAAAGAAATTTTAAAGCAAAGTCCATTAAATAATACGGCATAAATTTATAAAATTTTTTGATGATACTTTCATAAAATTTTTTCTTTTACCCGAACTATAAACATTTGATCCAATATTAGGAAACGATAGTTTAAAAGCATTCTCAACTGTGATTCATACAGCCGAGGATTACTTCACCGTTAAGAGAGGTAGAAAAGTCTCAATTAAACAGTTATTTTCCTAGAACGTAAATAAGATATATATATATATATATATATATATATATATATATATATATATATATATATATATATATATATATATATATATATATATATATATATATATATATATATATATATATATAATATTTTTTATTTATTATTAATTTTAACAATACTATTATATAAATATTAATATAAATATTAATTTCAAAAGCTGTTTAACTTTAATATTAATTTGTATTTTAAATACATTTCGAATTTTAAATTTACATAAATTAATAATTAAAATATTTCATAAAGTTTTAAACTTATATCGTTTAAGATATTTGTAAGTACTAATTAAATACAACGGGAATCAAAAAAGTTTAAAAAGCATTGTAGTGAAACACATGAAATGATTTAAAACAGATATCTAGAGCTCTCTAAAAGTTATTTATAGGCATTAGATATCCATCTAAGCATAAAAAATCTCTACATGCATCGTTTTTGGGTTTCCTAGACCTAGGCTCGTTCCGTTTTGGTAGGAATTCTATATGTGAGGTCAAAGATTGCATTGTTTTAGTGATGTATATAAAAACCTCCTGTGAGTCTTTAATTGTGTATCGGCCAAATAGCCGTGAAGGCACAATAAAAGTTTTATTGTATTGTTATCTAAAAAAATAAAAGTATTTATAATTATCAATTTTTAGACAAGCTTTAATATATTATTATTTTTTTGTTGGCGCAAGTAACAACTTACCTTTATTATGTGTTCATTTTGAGATGTATCCACTCTCTTTTATTATCAGAATTGATTTGAAAATTGATTGGAATTTCCGCACAGCGTTCACTGAAATTTGTCGATTTGAAGTTAACACGTTTTTTCTAACATGTCTCTGAAATGTTGATGAATTAATAAACACACTTTCACAACACATATAATTGTTATGCGTTTTCAGAAATTGATATTCTTTTAACTGTTTAAAAAGATCACCATTTTTTGAAAAATATTTTGCACACACAAAGCACTTCATTTTTACTTACCTTTCTTCCATTTGCAAAATCTTCAAATCTCTGCTTTTCAAAAAAAAAAAAAAATATCTTTAACACATAACACTCTTGAGACACCTCCGTTCACTTCAGAAATCATTTAAAGTATGAGATCAATCAAGAATTTGGTTTTTTCTTTTTTTCTTTTCGACAACAACCATTTTCGACAGCAAATGACAATACGACCAATCACCATTCAAATATGTTATTCTATTTTGTTCTCATCTTAATGGTCGTTGACCTCTGTTAGATGGCGGAGGTGAGAATAAAAGAGAATAACAAATTTGAATGGTGGTTGATGACACACAAACAAACATAAACAAACACAAACACAAACACAAACCGTTGGTCGATATTGTCGTTTGCTTACGAAAATGGTTGTTTTTATATTTGAGAGACGTAAAATGTGTTTTCGGTTGGTATGCTAACCAATTGGAAAAAAAATCTTCCTTTGCATATGCTGGCATAGTAAGTTCGTTATTTATGCAATAACGTATTTATATAATGAGGAATGATTAGAGTTTTTTCTGCTGCTGCGGTATTTTTTTGTTTTTGGAAATTATGATGTGCATTTTTGATTGTAGGTGAGAACAAAGGAGAATAACAACTTTTAATGGTAGTTGTTTAATTTGGGAGAGGTAAATTATGTTTTCGGTTGCTACGTAAAATGAAATTATATGAAAAAATCTGTGCATATGAAGATTGGAAAAAAAAAAAAAAAACATTCTTCCTTTGCAAATGCTGGCATAGTTAGTTCGTTATTTTGTGCAACATCGAATGAAGAACGTTTAGAGTTGGTGAGGGGAATAGGGAAACCATCAACGGGACTTTTTTGTTGTAATTTCGATTCTGATGAACAGTTTAAGGAGTTATTGCTGAAAACTGTAAAGACATGTGTTTGCTTGCAAATAACGGTTGTAGTTGTTTTTGTTTGGCAGGCGCGTAGGTTCTTTGGTATTTTCATGATTTTAGGCACATTTTTTAATGGAATTGTTTCAAATTTCGTATTTGAAATTAAGAATTGGTACCACAACCTATGTCAAAAAATGGGTATGAAGGTCCACGTCTTCGTATAGCCCCCACATAACGGTACATACCGATATTCGGTATTTTGATAATTTTAGCGACAATATTCACTGGAATTGTTTGAAATTTCGTATTGGAAGATGTTAATGGGTAGTACAATCTATGGCAAAAAATTTCGAATCCAGGTCCACGCCTTCGTATAGCCCCATATAACGCTACCTCCCGACATTCGGTATTTTGATTATTTTCGCCACATTTTTTCACAGATATGTCTAAAAATTGGTATTTGTACTTCGTAATGGGTTCTAGCGTAATGGTTGATATCGGTTTACGTCTTCGTATACATTCATTGAATACAGAACAAGGCTGTGATATAAGTTTATAATCTTCCAAGAACTCACTCGACGATCTCGTTATAAAGAACTTCTCCAGCGGCATATTACCAATTCACGGATAATATAAATTGTAGCCACTTATTTTCATGTTTAAATCAGTACGAAATCTTTGCTCTTCAGTATAAATTCGTTGCTGTTACAGTTATATCGTTTTCATATAGCCCCCATATAACGGTACCTCCCTATATTCGGCAATTTGATGATTTTAGCGACATTATGAACCGGAATTGTTTCAAATTTGGTATTTGAAGTTCGTAATGGATACTACAACCTATGACAGAAAATTGTCTGTGCAGGTCTACGTCTTCGATTAGATGTCGTATTTGAAATTCGTAATGGATGCTACAGCCTATGACAGAAAATTGTCTGTGCAGGTCCACGCCTTCGTATATCCCCCATATAACGGTACCCCCCGATATTCGGTATTTTCATGATTTTATCGTCATTATTTATCGGAATTGTTTCCAATTTCGCATTTGAAGTTCGTAATGGATATTACAGTCTGTGCAGATCCACGTTTTATAACCACCATGGTTCCACCTATATTCCGTATTTTGATGATATTAGCTACATTAAAAACAGATAGATAGATCCTAATATAATAGCTACCTTTGGTATTTTTAAGATTCCAACAGAAATTTTAACGGATTTTATTGTTTTTGAGAATTGCCAAATTCGTTCCAAATGGTGGAGGGTACTCAAAGTTCGGCTCGGCCAAACTTACAGCTTATTTACTTGTCTTTCTTAGAATATAACTGTACACTCAAGAGTTTCTCTAGGAAGTAATTAAGGTCCTCTACCTTTTGTACTATACTTCATCTGTTTTTCCATCCTTCCATCTGTTTTTCCTTTGTCTAAAATTTTGATATTTGCTGCTTTTGATATTACATGTACTCTAATATTGAGTCTTTTAACCAATCAACTAATCTTCTATGCTATTTAAATTCTCTTGTGAATTTGTGTAGTGCAAATGGGATGTCATTTAATCCAACAAGTAAAAAAGCATTAAGTTTGGCCGGCCCGAGCTTTTGATACCCTCCACCTTTGGGTATAAAAGCATATGAATTTAAAGTGTTCCACTTTAAACTAAATAGTTGTAAGATAGTTTAGGTAATGGTGTTAAACTTTTCAAAAAACAAGTAAAAAAGTATCGGTCGGTTTGCCGACCGATGTATACCCTCAGCCAATGTTTGATTATTTAAAAATATTTTCACTTCTGCTATGACTATTCAAACTCTTGACCTTCTATGGAGTGGGTTTTGAAAGAATGGACCAATATTGCCCATTTCTTATCGGAACTAAATAAATATGATATAAATATTTGGACGTGGCAAGTTTGGAATATATTGGTAACTTCCTTCACTTTACTTTACATATGTAATAATTTTTAGAAAAAGTTAATATGTGCGTGAGCTACCAGATATAGTCGACCGAAGTATATGTGATGTCCGTTGGAATTGCAATTTTGGAATTTCGAAAAAAGGAAAGTTGTGCTGAATTGTGCTAGGTTTGTGCTCAATTGTGCCGATTTTTTTTCGAAATTCGAAAAAAATTCTGAGATATTCTAAAAAAGATTTTTTCGAAAAATATTCGAATTTCGCAAAAAATAAAGTTGTGCTGAGTCGTACTCGGTTTGTGCCCATTTGTGCAGATATAGGCCATCTTCGAACTTGACCTGCCTGCAGCAAAAGACAGATCTGTGCAACGGAAGGACAAACCGGCGGACAGGGCTTAATTTTACGTCAATCAAGAATATATATACTTTGTTGGGTTTAAAATTATTATTTCGATGAGTTACAAACGGAATGATGAACTTAATATACCCTCCATACTATGTATAGTGAAGGGTATAAACAAGTAAAAAGGAGGAAGTTCGGCCGGGCCGAACTTTGAATACCCTCCACCATTAGGAACGAATTAGAAATTTTTCAAAAAAAAAAAACAAGTTAAAAAGCAGTAAGTTCGGCCGGGCCGAACTTTTAATACCCTCCACCATTTGCAACGAATTTGGAAATTTTCAAAAAATAAAATCCTTAAAAAATTCTGTTAAAATTTTAAAAATACCGAATATAGCCGTTATATTGGGGTCTATACGACGTGGACATACATATGCATTGTTTGTCATAAGCCATTACCTTATTCAAATTCGAAACTGGACCCGCACCGACAATTTTCTGTCACAGACTGTAGTTCCCATAACGAACTTCAAATACCAAATTTTAAACAATTCCGGTTAATAATGTCGCTAAAATCATCAAAATACCGAACATAGCGAGATGCCGTTATATGGGGGCTATACGAAGACGTGGACCTGCACAGACAATTTTCAGTCTTAGGGTGTAGTATCCATTTGGAACTCCAAATACCAAATTTGAAACAATTTCAGTGAATAATGTCGCTAAAATCATCAAAATACCGAATATAGGGAGGTACCGTTATATTGGGGCTATACGAAGACGTGGACCTGCAAAGACAATTTTCTTTCTTAGGGTGTAGTATCCATTTGGAACCTCAAATACCAGATTTGAAACAATTCCCGTGAATAATGTCGCTAAAATCATCAAAATACCGAATATCGGGAGTCACCGTTATATGGGGGCTATACGAAGACATAGACTTGCACAGATAGAAATCTTAGGGTGTAGTATCCATTTGGAACTTCAAATACCAAATTTGAAACAATTCCGGTGAATAACGTCGCTAAAATCATCAAAATACCGAATATAGGGGGTTACCGTTGTATGGGAGCTATATGAAAACGTGGACCTATATGGCCCATTTACGAACTTAACCTGCCTACTGGAAAAATAAACATGTGTGCAAAATTTTAGCCATCTATCTCAATTCATTCGAAAGATAGCGTGATTACAACAGACAGACGGACATCGCTAAATCGACTTAGAATTTTACGCTGATCAAGAATATATATACTTTGTTCGGTCTGGCATGAGTATTTTGAGGAGTTACAAACGGAATGACAAAGTTGATATACCCTCCATAGTATGGTGGAGGGTATAAAAAAAATAAAATCCATTAAAAATTCTTTTAAAATCGTTAAAATACCTTATTTCAGAATGTGCCTATATATGGGGGATATGCAATATTGTGGACCTATATAGACAAATCTATGTCTGGGGGTAAACTACTCAAAAAGAACTCCTTATTTGGTATTCAGACAATTCAGTTGAAAAATGTGGCTAAAATCATCAAAATACCGAATATCGGGGAGAACCGTTATATGGGGCTATACGATATCGTGGAGCTATATAGATAATTGTATTTTAAGGGATAAAGTACTCACAAGAACTCCTTGTGAGGATTTTCAGATAATTCCATTGAAAAGTGTAGCTAAAATCATTACAATCCCGAATATCGGGGGGTACCATTATATGGAGGATATACGATATCGTGGACCTATATAGATAATTCTCTGTCAATGGATAAAGTACTCACAAGGAACTCCTTGTGGGTATCGTTATGTGGGGGATATACGATATCGTGAACCTATATAGAAAATTCTCTTTCAGTGGGTAAAGTACTTACAAGGGACTCCTTGTGTGGAATTTCAGACCATTACATTGGAAAATGTGACTAAAATCATGAAAATACCGAACTTGGCCTGGCTGCAGACAAAAGAAAGATCTGTGCAAAATTTCAGCTTCCTATCTTAATTCGTTTTGGCTGTAGCGTGATTAGAACAGACGGACAGACAGGGCTAAATCGTCTTAGAATTTTACGCTGATCAAGAATATATCAGGGTTGTGCATATTGTACTAAATTCTAAGTGCACTAAGAATTAAATAATTAGTGGCAGTGCAATTTTTTATTCCACTACCACTAAAGGGTTAGCGGTAGTGAAAAATAAATTGCACTACCACTCATGGTACAATAAAATCAAGGTAGGGCTATGATACCATATGATTTTAATTTTTTCATTTTCTTGGCTTAACATGTCAACTATATTTGTTTATATATATGTTTTCTTTTCAATAACAAAAAAATTGTTCAGAAAATATTCAAATTCGGGTGTTTTCAAAATGTTTATTTCGACATATGCATCGACAATATCTACAGTTTTTGTAGCGAAATAAACCTTAAGAGATATATACAACATGATTTTGAAAAGAAATGTTGACCTTTCATTCAGTTTACGCGGTTTTCAATTATTTGTTCAAAATAAATGCAACAAGTTGTTTGATTTTTATTGTTTTGATAATGATTTTGACATTACAAACCAAACAGGTAGACCTCTATACTTGTAATTTTTTCAAAGTTATCCTACCTTCTCTTCATTGTACCATGCTACCACTAACAATTTAGTGATACAGAGGAATGTGAATGGCAAAGGTCGTAAATTTTGATGAATGTAACCTACCTTATCAATCATAAATATATTCCGATTCGACAATTTTTTATATTTTTTTGATTTTAACGAGTAACGAGTAGAGATACAAATTTCCAATGTATGAACGAAAAATTCTGCTAGGTGAGCACAATTCAGCACAACCTGCAGATTTCAAAAGTTATAATATTTTTAATTGTTAGCGAGTAACGAGTAAAGGTTTCCACCTTTTGTGTATGAATGAAAAATTGTGCTAAGCGAGCACAACTCAGCACAATTCACCGCATCTCGATATTTGAATTTTTTCAAAAAAATACAGCAATTTTACTTATATATGTATGTATTTTCCAATTTTAAGTAGTAACGAGTGGAAATACAAATTTTCAATGTATGGCCGAAAAATTGTGCTAGGTTAGCACAATTTACCTCATCTTGATATTTGAATTTTTACCAAAATTACAGCAATTTTTTTTAGAAAAATACTGTTTTTTTCGAAATTACCATATCTTGAAAACGGTTAAAAATATTGAGAAAAAATTAACGGCACAAGTTAGCAAAAGTTAGCACAAGTCAAGCACAACCCAGCACAACTCTTATTTTTTGGAAATTCGAAAATTGCAATTCTGGCATACTTTCGAAATTGTCGTTTTTTCGAAATTGGTAAGAGATATCGATTTAACGGCCCAAATAGGCACAAACCGAGTACGACTCAGCAAAACTTTAATTTTTTCGAAATTCGAAAAAAAAAATTCGGCACAATTGAGGACAAACCTAGCACAATTCAGCACAACTTTCCTTTTTTTTCGAAATTCGAAAATTGCAATTCCAACGGACACCACATGTATTCGTTGTAGTGGGTTAAATTGTAAAAAAGTAGAATTTATTTTATAATTAAACAAGTAAAAAAGCTGTAAGTTCGGCCGGGCCGAACTTTTAATACCCTCCACCATTTGGTATAAATTTGGCAATTTCCAAAAAAAAAAAATAAATAAATAAAATAAAAAAAATCCTTTAAAAATTCTGTTAAAATCTTAAAAATACCGAATGTCTATACGACGACGTATACCTGCATAGGCAACTTTTGTCATAAGTTATTACAACATTTAAATTCTACTTGTTTATAATGTAGCTAAAATCATCAAAATACCGAATATAGGGGGTACCGTTATATGGGGGCTATACGAAGACGTGGACCTGCACAGACAATTTTCTGGCATGGGCTGAAGTATCCATTACGAACTTCAAATGCGAAATTTAAAACAATCCCGGTAAATAATGTCGCTAAAATCATCAAAATACCGAATATCGGGGGGTACGGTATATGGGGCCTATACGAAGACGTGGACCTACATGGTCCATTTTCTGTTTACTGCTGCAGTGTCTATTACGAACTTCAAATACCAAATTTGGAACGGTTCCGTTAAATAATGTCGCTAAAATCATCAAAATACCGAATATCGGGGGGTACGGTATATGGGGGCTATACGAAGACGTGGACCTACATGGCCCATTTTCTGTTTTCTGCTGCAGTATCTATTACGAACTTCAAATACACAAATTTGGAACGGTTCCGTTAAATAATGTCGCTAAAATCATCAAAATACCGAATATCGGGGGGTACCATTATATGGGGGCTATACGAAGACGTGGACCTGCACAGATAATTTTCTGTCTTAGGCTGTAGTATCCATTACGAACTTCAAATGCCAAATTTGAAACAATTCCGGTGAATAATGTCGCTAAAATCATCAAAATACTGAATATCGAGAGGTACCGTTATATGGGGGCTATATGAAAACTTGGACCTACATGACCCATTTACGAACTTAACCTGCCTACTGGCAAAATATACATGTGTGCAAAATTTTAGCCTTCTATCTCAATTTGTTCGAAAGATAGCGTGATTACAACAGACAGACAGACAGACAGACGGACAGACAGACAGACAGACACACAGACAGACAGACGGACATGGCTAAATCGTCTTAGAATTTTACGCTGATCAAGAATATATATACTTTGTTGGGTCTGACGTGAGTATTTCGAGGAGTTACAAACGGAATGACAAAATTAATATACCCTCCATAGTATGGTGGAGGGTATAAAAATAAGTTTGATATTTTTGTTGAATATAACTTCTACTTTCGATTGACCGTTATATTTTTTGTTAAAGCCCCTACAGCCGGCATTAGTGATTTGATTTAAACACTAAAATTCGTATTTTTATCAATATTTGTGGAAATTGTTAATAATTATTTATTTATAAATTCAATTTGATTTTTTTGGAGCATATATTTTTATACCCTCCACCATACTATGGAGGGTATATTAACTTTGTCATTCCGTTTGTAACTCCTCGAAATACTCATGTCAGACCCAACAAAGTATATATATTCTTGATCAGCGTAAAATTCTAAGTCGATTTAGCGATGTCCGTCTGTCTGTCTGTCCTTCTGTCTGTCTGTCTGTTGTAATCACGCTATCTTTCGAATGAATTGAGATAGGTGGCTAAAATTTTGCCAACATGTTTATTTTTCCAGTAGGCAGGTTAAGTTCGTAAATGGGCCATGTAGGTCCACGTTTTCATATAGCTCCCATATAACGGTACCTCCGGATTTTCGGTATTTTGATGATTTTAGCGACATTATTCACCGGAATTGATTCAAATTTGGTATTTTAAGTTCCAAATGGATACTACACCCTAAGATAGAAAATTATCTGTGCAAGTCTATGTCTTCGTATAGCCCCCATATAACGGTACCTCCCGATATTCGGTATTTTGATGATTTTAGCGACATTATTCACGGGAATTGTTTCAAATCTGGTATTTGAAGTTCCAAATGGATACTACACCCTAAGACAGAAAATTGTCTTTGCAGGTCCACGTCTTCGTATAGCCCCAATATAACGGTACCTCCCTATATTCGGTATTTTGATGATTTTAGCGACATTATTCACGGGAATTGTTTCAAATCTGGTATTTGAAGTTCCAAATGGATACTACACCCTAAGACAGAAAATTGTCTTTGCAGGTAAACGTCCTCGTATAGCCCCAATATAACAGTACCTCCCTATATTCGGTATTTTGATGATTTTAGCGACATTATTCACTGGAATTGTTTCAAATTTGGTATTTTAAGTT